ATTTGACCCCTTTTACCCTATCTACCTCCCCCTTCTCAAAACTTACTTTAAACCAACAATAATCAAGGCAATGTGGTATTGGCATAAAGATAGGCATATAAATCAATGGAATAGAATCGAGAGTCTAGAAATAAACCCTACATTTATGATCAATTGATTTCAACAAAGGTACTAAGATAATTCAATGGGGATAAGACAGCCTTTTCAAAAAAAAATGGTGTTGGGATAATTGGATATCCATATGCAAAAAGTAAACTTAGATTTATCTCACATCAAACACAAAAATTAACTCAAAATGGATCATAGACCTATATGTAAAACTAAAAAAATGTTTAGGAGAAAGCATAGGAGAAAATCTTTGCAACCTTGGACTAGGCAAAAAGTTCTTCAAATGGACACCAAATAACTCATAAAAGGAAAAAGTTGATAAATTGAACTTCATTAAAATTAAAAATGTTTGTATTTGAAGAGACATCACTAAAAAAATGAAAACAGTGCTCATTTTGCCAGCACATATACTAAAACTGAAAAGAAACAAAAGAATAGCATGGCCTCTGTATAAGGATGACATGCAAATTCATGAAATGTTCTATATTTTTTAAGAAATTTAAGAAGTTACATCTATTAAAATGAAAAAATAAAAATTACAGAAATACTTAACATGAAAAGGAAAAAGTTTACTACCTAATATTTTTTTCTCAAAAAAAAAAAAAGTAAATGAAAAGACAAACCATAGACTGGGAGAAAATATTTTTGAATTACAGTGTGATAAAGGACTTGTATCCAGAAAATACAAAGAACTCTTAAAACTCAATAAGAACCTAATTTAAAAAATGGGAAAAGATATGAATAGACATTTCACCAAAAAAAATATAGGAATGGCTAATAAGCACATGAAAAGATACATAGCCGGCAGGGTGGGGGGAGGTATTCGGCATCACTAGTCATTAGGGAAATGCAAATTAAAACCACAGTAAGAGGATGGGGGTGGGGGAGGAGGGAAGAGATAGATAGGGTAAAGGGGGTCATTTTGGGGGATGGAGGAGGGGGAAGTGGGTAAAGGAGATCAAATATAGCTGAAGGAAACTGGACTTTGGGAGGTAATCACACAATAGAATATATAGATGTCAAATTATA